AGTGGTCCCTTCTGGCCCTGGCACCTATGAAATAAACCCATTCAAAACACCCTGTTGCTCCTTACAGCGCTAAGGCTGCCCTGACCCCTCACAGCTGGAGCACACAGGCAAGTGAGGGTGAAGAGATGTGTGTGTGCAGGCAGGTGTGTGTGTGCAGGTGTGTGAATGTGCAGGCGGGCACGTATGTGTCAGTTTGCAGGCAGATGCGTGTGTTTGTGGAGGTGAATGTGCAGACAGGTGAGTACACGTGTGTGGGTGAGTGTGCAGGCGGGTGTGGTGAGTGTGCAGGCGGGTGTGGTGAGTGTGCAGGTGGTTGTGGAGGTAAGTATGCAGGTGTGTGTGTATGCAGGCATGTGCTTGTAGGGGGGTGAGTGTGCAGGCAGGTATGGGTGGGTGGATGTGTGCAAGCATGTGTGTGCATAGAGACAGGCGTGGGTGTGCAGGTAGGTGTGCATGGGGGTGTGAATGTAAAGGTGTGTGTGTGTGTAGGCAGGTGTTTGTGAGTGTGCAGGTGTGTGTGTGTGCAGGTGGCTGTGTGTGCAGGTGTGTGTAAGCGCAGGTAGCTATGTGTTAGTTTTTCAGATGTGTGTGAGAGAATGTGCAGGTATGTGTGGGTGCAGGCAGCTGTGTGTGAATGTGCAGGCAGGTGTGTGTGCAGGTGAGGTGTGTGCAGATGGCTGCGTGTGAGTGTGCTGGTGTGTGTGCAGGTGGCAGTGTGTGTGTGCTAAGGTGTGTGTGTGTGCAGGTGTGTGTAAGTGGCTGTGCCTAAGTGTGCAGGTGCTTTGTGTGTGCAAGTGTGTGTGTGAAGGTGTGGGTGTGTGCCTGCAGGCGGCTGTGTGTGTGTGTGTGTGTGTGTGTGTGTGCAGGTGGTTGTGTTTGTGTAGGTGTGTGCAGGCAGCTGTGTGTGAGTGTGCAGGTATGTGTGTGTGAGTGTGTGTGCATGCATGCAGGTATGTGTAGGCAGCGGTGTGTGAGTATGCAGGTGTGTGTGTGTGAGTGTCCAGGTGTGTGGGTGTGTGTGCAGGGGTATGAGTGAGTGTGCAAATATCTGTGTGAGAATCTGCAGATGTGTGTATGTGCAAGTGTGTTTGTGTGTAGGTGGGTGTGGGTGCAGGCAGTGTGTGTGAGTGTGAAGGCAGGTGTGTGTGGCTGCAGGTGGCTGTGTGGGTGCAAAGTTGTGTGTATGTGTGAGAGACAGAAAGTGTGTGTGTAGGTGTGTGTGTAAGTGCAGGTGCCTTTGTTTGTACAGGAGTGTGTGTGAGTGTGAAGGTGTGTTTGTGTGCATGCAGGTGTGTGTGTGTGTGTGTGCAGGTATGTGTGTGTGCAGGTGTGCGTGGGGGGGTGCGCAGGTAGCTGTATGTGTGTGTTCAGGTATGTGTGAATGTGCAGGGGTCTGTGTGAGTGTGCAGGTGTGTGTGTGTGAGTGTGCAGGTAGCTGTGTGCGGGAGTGTGCCGGTGGCTGTGTGTGCACAGAGGTGTGTGTGTGCAGGCAGGTGTGTGTGGCGGTGACTGTGTGTGTGCAGGTGTGTGTTTGGATGTGCGTGCAGGTGGCTCGGTGTGTGTAGGCAGGTGTATACAAGTGTGCAGGCAGGTGGGTGTGAGTGTGCGGGTGAGTGTGTGCATGTGTGTGCAGGTGAGTGAGGGTGCATGTGCAGGGGTCTGTGTGAGTGTGCAGGTGTGTGTGTGCAGGTGTCTGTGGGAGTGTGCAGGTGTGTGTGAGTGTGCAGGTGTGAGCGTGCAGGGGTCTGTGTGAGTGTGCAGGTGTGTGTGTGCAGGTCTGTGGGAGTGTGCATGTGTGTGTGAGTGTGCAGGTGTGAGCGTGCAGGGGTCTGTGTGAGTGTGCAGGCGGGTGTGCAGCCTGCTTGGTGGAGCAGAGGGAGGGTGTGATACGAGGGTGGGTGCAGCGAGAGGTTGTGCCCGGCCACTGGGCCTTGCAGCAGGCTGGGGAGGGGATTCCAAACTTGGCCGGCGCCTTTACCTCTGGCACTCGGCCTCCGCGCTGAGCTCCAGGTATGCGGCCACCTGGTCCGGCGTCAGCACGGCCTCCCCGTCGTCGCCGAGCGAGGGTGCAGGAGAGGCAGCGCGGTAGGGCAGCGAGGGTGAGGGCAGCACACTCCGAAGGGCGTTCTCTGTGCTCGGCTGCAATTCTCCAGCTGGGAAAGGCCTGGCTGCCTCCCCTCCGTCTCTGCTCCTGTAGGCACAGACACCATCAGTGTAGGGAGCCTGCCATGCTGGGCCCTGGCACATCCCTGTCACGACCTCGCCTGCCCCGTCTCCCCCAGTCCTGCTCAGCACCAGAGCCCCCCGGTCCCCCTTCAGACCCATGGGCTCCCATGGCAGTGAAAGGCTCCTCGCCCTGCAATGTGAAGCCCAGGACTTGTGGCAAACGTCCAGGGGCCGCTGTCAGCTGGGTGTTGAAGAAACCCCTCCATCCTCCTAAGACAGAGAACACAGTACCTGTTCTTCCGTCCCCAAGGCCGGCAAGCTCAGGGCGCCTGTGGGCCCACTGGCCTGGCCTGTCAGCACCTCCCACCCCCCTACAGAGGGCACTCACCCCATGCCTGGAGGGCTGGGGAGGAGGGACCAGGAAGTTCCTAATCACATTTGACAAGTAGTTAAATGAATCCTCATGGGAAACGAGAACCAACCTATAGACAGCGAGGGGGGATTCCCGCCCCGCTCTGGAGCCGACCTATAGACAGCGAGGGGGATTCCGTCCCGCTCCGGAACCGACCTATAGATAGCAAGTGGGGATTCCCTCCCCGCTCCAGAACAGACCTATAGACAGCGAGGGGGGATTCCTTCCCCGCTCCAGAACAGACCTATAGACAGCGAGGGGGGATTCCCTCCCCGCTCCAGAACAGACCTATAGACAGCGAGGGGGGATTCCTTCCCCGCTCCGGAACCAACCTATTGACTGCGAGGGAGGATTCCTTCCCGCT